TTCGATAGTGTTGGTACCTAACATAAACAAAACAATAAAGGCAATTACTGTAAGCGCTAGTCAAATCGATAGTCAAATTTCAGGATGTCGTCTGCGTCGAAACCCCTTGAAGAACAAAATCCTAATTGTTTTTAAATGTTTGCTAAAGACAAACAGACTGTCAGATTAATTAATCTCATTTGACGATGCTGTAAAAGAAAAGCAGTAATGCCCGTTACATTTGAGTCATTTCGATGATAAACAAAACAATAAAGGCAATTACTGCAAGCGCCAATGATTCATCGAATTATGTTCATTTTGAATTCACTTTTAGTTTTACTCTGTCACTCTCACTTGGCGAGCGTCAAAGACTGCGTCAGACGTTGACACAGTCTTAGGTCAGGCAAAATATGACGCATCTTGTGTAGCGGGTATTAAAGCCCCACTACACTACTTATAGCTACTTGCGCCCTCTATATAGCAAACAATGCCTAATCGGTGACCAGTGGTCCCCATGATCCCCTTTTTCTTATGTTAATTGAGAGCTTATTGATGAGATAACCACCTGTCAGTGACCATGCAGGGAGGTCTAATCCCTCCTGGCCAAACTAGTGCAGTGGGGATTTAGGACTGATTTTGTATTCCCCTTGGTTGAATCAGAGTTGACAGTACCAACAGTTATGAAATCAGAGTCAGACACGATCTGATTGATTTGATGGTAAATGTGCATTTCTTGCTTGCATTTATGTAAACAGTGCGTCTCAGAAAAAAAGAAACCGAGAATTATCGATGTTTTATTATAACTTAATCACAATTATAATTAATAAATGACACATATTTGTAATGCCTAGATCCACCTTTTTCATTTGATGCAACTCATTTGATGCACATTTCACGCATGCGTGATTAAAATCAATTTGAAGAAAGAGTACCAAAAAGTCATTTGGCAGACGGTATCTGAATTTCAAAGAGAAAAATCACATTTCTAGACAGTCTGTTCATTTTCTGCCCTTTCATATGACATCCATCAGGAAAAATGAGCTAGGAATAACAAAGTTTTGTCTGTTTAAAGTAATGCTTGCATTTCCATAATTTTATTTTAAAAACGAACTCGTTTTCACTGTATATATATATATATAATTCATTGTAGGTCACCTCTCCCAGACCAGAGACTTATAGAGGCCTCAAAAGGCATCGCGAGAGTCTTATCTGCTAGGCCAATTAGACAATAAATCTTATATTAATTTAGCACATTAATTTTGTTTATCTCTTAAATAGACATGTTTTCCCCGGTATAACCAGTTTTTTGTTATCAGTTACAATCAGAATTAAAACGAATGACCTGTTTTTCATTGCGGTCAGACATGTTGACATGAGATAATCAAAAGTATGGTGAAAACAACAATATTTTGATAATTATTCAATTGGGCATATAGGCATATCTCTCAAGCTCTTCATAAGGAGGCTTTACTACAATTTTGCAATTTTGAATCCATAACTTCAACCCTGGGCCCAACATTATGATCTGACCCTAACCTTAACCCTATACTTTTGAGGAAATACAGCTCAGAGCAATTATTGCAAGAATAAATGTCGAATCAAACCTGATTGAATATAACCTGATAACCACACAAAAACGCGCCTATAATAATCCCATTACCATTACGTCATTGTTCCTTTCGTCTCATAGTGGTCATTTTTGTCATATTCGGACTTCGAAATGGTCTCATTAACCTCGTATATAGACGAGCAGCTGACCACCGATGAAACATTAATGTGACCGCCAAGAAACCACGACGGAAGATTTCAAATTAAAACAAAATTCAAGATTTTTTTTAAATGTAGAAAACTAGCTCCCGCCCGTTTAATCTAACAACAACATAGTCATGTTTCCGAGCAGTGTATATTTCAAATACGAATATAATCGGTGGCGCAAGCGTGTGTCCACATATTAAGGGGCTCAGATGGGAGGTAGGGAGGGGGGGGGGGGGGGGGGGTGTGCATCAATATTTCTTGATGGATGAAATGCGAAAGAACAAAGCTTTCGAGTGAGGAGAATATATTATGGGATGGAGTCAGATAATCGCTTTCCCCTCTCTAATACTTTCCCCCTCTTTTAAATTTTTCCATCTCTCGTCATTCGAGAGGAGATATTATGCGCCCCCTGCCCTGTATCTACGCCATTCACGATGTTGTTGTTGTCCTTCATCGTCAACCATATTTGTCTACAAAATGTGTCTTTACGTGTTCTGTATGTTTCCGTTTCCATTGATTATTCATCGTTTACGTCATCAGTGACATTCGTCATAATTATTGTCAAGATGAACGCAGTGGCGGCAAAATATATATTTTCTTTCACACAATCAGAACAAATCAAAGGTTGGTTGGTTTGTTTGTTTTACCTGACTGCTGACTGCTGACTGCTGACTGTTTATGTTTCTAAGTAAGCAACCAGTGTACCGACGTCTTTAAGTCCTCTCCGAGAGACTTGGTAACGAGGATTAATGCCCTACCAAAGGACACGAGCGCATCGAATAAGTTACGAACCCGAAACCTCCCGGTTACGAGACCACTGCTCTACCACTGAGCCATCGCGCCTCACAAATTATTACCATTTTCTTCTTGTTGGTCAACGTAGCGTCTTCGGTTATCTCCTACAGGCAGATGCAGACAAGGGGGCGACATCTTTTACTTTTTGTTAGGTGAAGACTATATATATATAATCATGACAAATTCAAATGTTTATTTGAGTCACTCTTGTTTATGTTTTCATTAAGCACACTGCTAAATACAAAGTCTACAGTGAGTATAATTACATTTTCACCTCGCATTCTTCCAAGTTCCAGTGGAGGTGTTAAATGGACATGGCTTTCGTAGGGTGATTAGCGTCGGCAGAAGCCTAAAGATTACTTTACAGTGATTAGTGGCAAATCACCGTCTCTCGTTTCTTTACTTATGTAATTTGTTTAAAATTAACTTTTATCTGTGCGCAATCTTTTTTGCAGGAGGCCCTTATCTATGACAGGCCATTTTCCTTTCTATACGGTTTTTTAATCTTTTTCCTATACTTCATTGATTTTGTGTCATGCAGTATATAAAAAAAATTGGATCTTTGAATATTATTATTCAAAATTGAATTCATATTCTGTAATCAATATCAGATAATAATATAAGTCGCAATCAATAAACTAACATGACTGGTGTAGTAGTGGAGGTGCGAGTATTTTGATGTTGTTTTTTGTTTTGTTTTGCTTTGCCCCATTTTGTTAATTTAAAAAAAAAGGCTATTTCTTCTTCTTCTTCTCTTCTTTTTTTTTTTTGGGGGGGGGGGGGTGGGGAGGTGGAATGCGTATGATTAATGACATCGAATGGGGAAGGTGTAGGGGGGGGTTCGTATAACCTACTCGTACTCCCTTTTCCTCACCTTCTTGATTTCACTCTCCTCATTCCCACACACACACACACACACTCTCTCTCTCTCTCTCTCTCTCTCTCTCACCCTCTCTCTCTCTCTCTCTCTCTCTCACCCCTATATCTCTCTCTCTCTCTCTCTCACTCTCTCTCTCTCATTTTGATATTGGATTGAGGGATGGGCCTGTGCACCCGTCGTAGTTATACGCATCTGCTAAAGACAATTTTCTAATATTTCTAAAAATGGGTTTCACTTTTAAAGAATAAAGTCAAACTGCCGCCCATCACTACTGCATAGGTTGTCACTTTGTTATACACGAAGGAGTTTGAAGGAAGAAGTTTTTTTAAAGAACAACTTGATACAAACAATTATTCCCACAATTAGGATACAGCTACTTAAGAGCACCTTGGTTGGGCCAGTCAGCTGGCTGCATAAGGTACTATCTGTTCCCATCAACACACCCTTAGAGATTAACCTTAATCCCCACAAGACGGGATTAGACAATCGCCATGTAGGATCTACAAGAATATGGTGAAATATTATCGAAGCACCGCCACCGTTAATTCTGCATGAGGAAGGAGACTGTTAATGGTTATGTATTATCATGTTAATTACAAAACAAATATCACTGAATAAGAGAATAATAATCTCCTATTAATACAGAAATTATAAGATATTAACAAACCTGATGAGTTTGTTTTCTTTTTGCAATCGATCAAATGTAATAGGCCTAGTGTTAAAAAATAGGATATCTTTGAAAAAAAATGTAAAGGGAGAAAAAGTGAAAGAAAGAGAGAGAATGACGGAGGAGGGGGGATGTTGATTTATATTAGAAAATCGAATTTCATATGCTTTAGGTTCTGTAATTTCTATCATAACATTTTTGGGTCCATCTCTCTCTCTCTCTCTCTCTCTCTCTCTTAATTCTTCCCTTCTCATTCTCTCGTCGTCCCTTTTTAAACCTTTCTTTCTAATAAGAAATATTCTACTCTTCATCCACCCCTTTATTTGTCATTTTGTTTTGTTCTCACCTACATTTTGTTCTCTCTCATGCTCAGTCGCTTTTCATTACACACTAATGACCAAGGCGCTGCGCGTCCGCCTTGCAGCAGCCAGGCCAAACCAAGTGACAGAATATTATTAGGATGAGAGGGGTTTAAAAATAAAGCTGTGACAGCTTTCGGTAATATGGTAATATCCGGTAACTCGACCGAGCTCTCTCCTCTTTTAAATGTATATTCCGATCTTGCCCCGGCAGTGCTGCCAGTTTTTTCGCCGCTCGCTACTAAAGAAGAGCGCACGGCAATCAGATCTCTTCGCCAGTTTACGAAGTTTATATTATGCCGCAGAAAGTTCTCAGACAGTTGTCTGCTCAAGTGCCAGAGAGCACACACGCTTTCCGCCAATAGAACTCTCACTCTTTTCACACAGGCGCTGATGAAAGGCGCCTAGAGATCGTCTGCATACTTTTGCACCTGAAAAGGATCCACACGCATGCGCGACTTTGTCTGTGTGTTCGCTCCGTTCGTTACTCGGTTATGTTATCTGAGTTCAACCATCGGGCGAATGATATTGAGAGCGCGTGAGGGGGAGAGAAAGGGCACACTTTGGTTTTGAAGCTTGCTCGGATCAGTCGTACGTGTGCGGCTGAAGTTTACAGTGATATTAGGGATTCAGAGTCCAGGATTGTGGAAATAATGATCGCAGCCTTCCGCTTGGAAATTATTTCTTGGAGCTAATACATTATTGTTTATACTTTGTAACAACTAAACTGTACTGATATGTGAGTATACTTCAAAATTCTACTCTCTCGACTTATCTTTATTTGTACTTCTTAATATTATAAGAGCTTACCTTGTTCATATATTCTTTGCTATTTAATTGTTTGTCCCTTCCTTACTAGTAATTTTATCCTTACTTTGCAATCATATGTTCGTATGGTTTGGCATGGTATGGTATTTCTGTTCCAAATCACAATAAGAAAACAATACACACAAAATAGAAAAGTACATATAATAAAATCAAGAGTATATTAAAATATTGGATTTCAAACTCAGCTTTGTTAATATGATAAAAGTTAGCTTAAACTAGAAATATGGGGCAATATTTTGCCTGTGTTTCGTTTCAAGCTGGTGGACAAATAATGTCAATCACTGCTACAAGATAAGTCTATTGTCATTTCTTACTTATATGATACTTGTGGCGCATTCATCATACAATTGTTAGCATATTTTATATTTTTTTTAAATAAACACTGCAAGTATACAATTTGATGTGAATGTGAAGTAGTATTATCACAGCTCATCAAGCGTTAATAGAACAGCAGGAACATGTTGATATTTTCTTTCATTCGCTAAGTACTGTCGTATATTCTTCCGCTGTTAGGTTTATACACCGCTTTATTTTTCGAACATGTTGAAATGATTGTATTATTTTGAATAACTTTGAGTAACTTTCCCCTGTATATAAATTTATGTATGTTTTTTTCCTTCAGTTTGTATTTTCCGTCAACCGCCTCACGACTATTTTTTATTCAGATATCATTATATATATATATATATATATATATATATATATATATATATATATATATATAAATATATATATATATCTGTTAATATTGTATATACATACACCGTTTTATTATGTCAATTCAGACAGCATAACCTTTCAAGCCCAACCTATATCACTTCAGGCAAAAACACCTGTCCGTCATAATATCATAACACATATAGAATCGAGATGGAATATCAGAGATAGTGTGTGGGAGATCTAGGAACAGAAATAGTCTACAATTTCGCTGACAAATATAGAAGATAACTCTCCCTTTTGCTCTTTATTCAATCAGCCTACGTGTTTTCATCTTTACTTCAGGATGTTTTAGTTTTGCATCTTTTCACCTGTGCAATGCCTCACTTTTGATGCACGAGTATAACTTGCCATGCCTAAAACAATTAAACTGGTCACTGCAGATCATGCTATATATAACTTTCAGTTATTAAGCTGGTATTATTTTGGCATCTACTCACCTGTGCAATGCCTCACTTTTTGTACACGAGTATAACTTGCAATGCCGAATCAATTCCACTGCGCATTGTATACTATATGCTATTTATACATTTCAGTTATTAAGCTGGTAATGTAATACTCGTAGTTGTAAATCAGAATTAAACATAATCTCCAAAATGCCATCCTTCTAACTATTTATTTATTTATGATAAATTTATCAATCGATCTCACATGCACTTGCTTCGCCCAGTACAAGAGGGGCTTCTGTGTGGTACATACATGGGCAGCTTTTGTGATGAGCTTAATAGCTTCATTGCACATTCGGAATGGTTCATAAATGAAACCACCTGTGAATTTAAAGCGAGCAGTAACCTTTTAAACTCCCATCTCTTTCTGGCCATCAACCTACATCTCATCGAAAGTAAACAAAGGTCACCAAACTCGATCAAAGCCACATTTTGACGGGGAAAACCCGAAAATCATTTTTGTTTACATCTCGGATCTGAGTAGAAGATTGCCATTGATGCGAGAGGGGATATTGAGCGGGCTTAATAAACCTCGCTGACCCACGAACTTGTCAACTTTCAGCTCCGTTTTGAGAGGTAAATGACTCAACATGTTTGACGTGAATACTACATTTTCTAAAGAGGTGTATATTTTAGGGGACTGGGGGGGGGGGGGGGTACCCTCTATAGGCCTACGTCAATTGTTTCGCTCTGTCTGGCAGATATAATCTGACAGTTTTACGACTGAAGTAATGTCATAATGAATTATTTCGATGCAGATGTATGCCTATAATGACAACGCAGTCGCATTGTTTCACGAGCTAATATTAATTTTTTAATGTGACATCATGTATTCTTGCCAAGTGATGTGTTAGTTTCTGTTTGTTTGCAAGTGCATATAGCCCTTTAATCCGACTTACAGTTTAATTATGCAACCACGAAAGTATTTCTTTAAATAGATTACCAGAATGTAATAAAAAGCTACCAAAGGGAATAAACTTTATTTTTTGGGGGAAAATGTAAAAATAATACATACATTCAAATTGCTTATACATGGGATGGACATGTGTTAAACGAATGGCTACACAATAAATACACACCTTAAAGACAGAAAACGTTTTGAAACATATATATTAATATAAACGGAAGCCCGCCTTTAACGTAGCCGGTTCTAGTTTTAACGTCTTTTGATTGCCATAATGTTGGAGTCATGTCTCTTAAAACCGATTGTCATTAATAACGAGTATTACCGTCAATTGTTGTGAAATCGGAAATCTTACAGGGGCTACTTTCCAATCGATGTCATATTTTTCCCCAAGGTAATCCATCACGATTTCACCTCCCTCATCTCTCATTCCGCTATTTTTAGAAAAAGTAAGAAAACGTAATAAACAGTTATTTTCATTCCCAAAATGTGCACATATCCTGTCTTGCACTGAGAGAAAATTGAATTGCTTTACCCTCGAAGCTTAACCTATCTTTCACGAGGAAAACATTAATTGATTATCCCACGTGTCTTTTTATCGAGACTTTAACTTGATTATGAATACAAATTTGCCGCTTTCGCCAATTAAACGACCTTGCTAAGTATCAAACCTAAGAATATGGAAAATACATTACATTTCGTACTTTCGTGGGGTGAAAATGTATTGGTCTATACACTGCAGCTACAGCAGCAAGCTGAACAATCTTTGTACACACAGTTATTTGCTTTCAGCGGACTCTGAATATCTCCAGGACTTTTACCGATCCAAGCGTTTCTGTCTTTGATATCCGCATTCAAATTTCTTCCTGACTTCAATTTTTATCATCCTCTTCGCTATGTGTAATTTATTGGTCAATCGAGTTGTCCGTCATTGTAGCTTGACACGTTTTCCTTATGCATTTATGGTGGTATGATCCACATGCCGTTACAAAATGGTTCAATAGTTCATTTGATATTGCATACACAAAGAATTAAGTAAAATTAAGCACTTCCGTTGATTATTTGGGGAAATGAATATAAATCGTCTTTGTGTACTTCATAAATCTATAGGAAATAGTCTCCTAGATAATACTCCTTTCCTATCGTAGAGTATTGACGATATTAATGTTATGTACCAATGTCAGTCTCACTTATGGCACCTGCAGAACCCTGTTTGTTTTGGTATCCAAGAAAAACTTGATGAAAAAAAAAACTGCAATAGGTAAGGCAAGCACCCAGGTAAAACATAGCCCCTTGTTGAACCTGCCCAACATGTAACTATATCCCGCAACATGATGCATGTGGTGGATTGTTTCCACTGCCAGCTGATTGCTGGGCTCCGTAACACAAAGCGTTAGCAATCACTTACACGTCAATTGCAAAGTTAATACGACGATTCTGATTGGTGCATGGTCAGCCTTTTGAACAATATGTGCATGCAACGACGCTCTTGATTGGTCATTGTCATTTTGTAGTTGTTGCAAACCATTGTGTTACGGGGCTGATCCAACACGGCCTACCTCGTATCTCTCCTTCCAAAATGTACATGTACACTCTGCGCACGTTTGGGTCCGAAACATGCAAGTGCAGGTTATTTCTATTTACTCCCACTGTATGTACATTAATGTCTATTGCTCACGATGCGTCAATTCCCTGACGTATAGGACTGCGTCAACGACTGGGCTTTGACGCACCTTGTAAAAATAGCATCCGTTTCACGTGTTCAACGGGCATTACAGAAGAAGTTCGACTTTGTTACGAAAACAAAAATGAAAGCCGTGCGAACGCGTTCCTAATCGCCATTCAATACTGCGATAATGAGATTGACGTTACCGCTTGACTTTTCATAATTTCCGACAGACATGGAAATTTCAAACTACAGCCTCGGGCATGCTTTTAACGTTAAAGCCTGTGTTTTCATGTTCCCCTTATACATACAGTTATGTAGATTCAGTATGATGGAATACTGTTTTGAAACACTGCGACGTAGCCGACTGAATGTATTCGTCCAATGAACATCAGTGTGATGAAAAAGGCAAGAAAAAAATAGGACTACTTTTAATGCCTAACAAAATTTCTTTCTAGGTTTAGCTGTATGAAAAGAAATAGATTTAATTATAAACAGATGAACTCATGGCCCAAAACTGCAGTTTGTCAACCTTATTTTGATTGTAAAATCTACCTGTCTTTAAAGGATAATATATGTTAAAATAAAGCCGAAAAAGTAAAAGACCTAAAAACATACGATGTTAATGTGTGTATATATATTTAACATTATTGCTTTCTAGTCATTCCAATGCATACAATGTTGTTGCAAGAGAACATGGTCACAACTTCGTATTGGATTAATATCTTATCCACGCTGTTCACTGCTAACGTATATTAATTTTACACTAGGGACTACATTACTAATGTCCTAGTGCTTTCAATTTCTCTACGAACATGATGAAGGCCGGCATGACCCGTTTTAATCTTATTGCAGCCACGTCATTCATAACTACTGTAATTAGCAGTGAGTCTTATAGATTTCACATAATTTTAATTAGTTATTTACTTTTATTTCGAATGAATTCTATGGCTGTTGTTAATTAAAGCTAAGCAGAAAATACATACAGAATTGATAATTGGTTCGCTCAAACATTTAAATGGATGGGAGGGGGAGGAGATTGTGTTGGACGAAATTTGCCGAAAAGTTTCACAGCAGGAAATGAGAATAATTTCCTAACAGAGGTTAACATTTTCTAATATTGTACATAGCAACGCTCATGCTTAAATTTAATTTTCAGGTGAATATGACTATTTCCACGAAGGAGTTATATAAAATTCACATCATTTGCTGACATTTGTGGTGATTCGTAGAGTTCATTCCCAAGGTAATTAGTTTCCCTTCACTAGTCGTTTAATCCACCTCGTCTCTTAAAAACGTGATCTATTACGAAAACAAAACGAAAAATTACACAAAACAGTACGTGTGGGGGCCCTAGCATTCTGTACAGTAATCCATGAAGCATGTGTTTTTTGCCGTTGTAGATTTTCTTTAAGATTCTCAGAGGAAAATGTGTCGAAAGACTGGGGAAAATGTCAAGGAAAGATATCCGATGCACGAGAACAATTTCCACCGTTTTTTGTTGCTATCCCCATTGGTTTCCTCGACTTTCACGGGAGCGGGTTGGCAGACATTAGCAACATTCTAAAGGATATTTGTTAAAACATGTTTAACTGCAGTTGTCATTCTTCATGAACCATGCATGTATATTGTGCTTTATGTAATGTAGGTAGATTTGTCAGATCTACAGAAGAGTACTACAGTTTGTTGGTTTAATAGAAAATAGTTATAATCTTGTGAAACTATACGAAGTCAAGCTGTGTTTATATGATGCTACCCCCCCCCCCCCATATGTCAAAATTTGAACATGCTCTAAATTAAAAAAAATCTTTTTAATCTGTATCACTTTCTTATATGTTCCTGCTTTGTTCATTGACATGTCTATTTAACTGTTTTCCATGTTGTCTCCAAAATTGTACGTTTGACCCTGTCTCTGTTTCGGAATGTTCCTCCTTATTCCCCTCCCTCTTCCCTGCTTCTCTCTCTCTCTATTTTCCTATTATTCTCTCTTTCTCTCACTCAATCTCATTTTCTCTGTACTCGTATGTATGCCTGTTTATCTATATCTTTTTCTCTATCTAGTCTGTCTCTCTTTATTTTACATTTGTATTCGATTATGTGTGTGTGTGTGTGTGTGTATTGGGTTTTTACAGACGTGTATCAATCAGATATGATTATTTACGTCTGGGACCGACCTTTAAACGTCACCATCCGAAAGACGTGACTCAGTTTCGAACCTGCGTCCTCGGCTGAATCAGTTTGTTACTTCCACTTTTTAGCTGGATTACAGGCGCACGCCACAACGCCTAGTTTCGATTATGTTCGTTTCTATTGGTGCTATCTACTGCAGCTTTTGCACAATCAAAATGGTTTGTAAATGAAACCACGTGTGAAATGAAAGCAAGCAAAAAGACATGACGTCACAGCATGTAACTAAGCCGCAGTCATTACCTACCACATTTCAATAATCTCAGAAGATTGTTAAACATGAATATTCGTTGATAAAGCAGGACGTCGAACCCAATACAAAAAGCCCTCCAATCAATCACTAAATGAACACATGGTACATTATCCTTCCCTTTTCCCATTTTTCTTGCCATTTCTTCTTTTTCTTCTTTATTTTGTTTAATTCTTCTTTATTTCTGCCAGTCATTGCTCACTGATCTTATTATCAGTAGGACGAATTATCGACCTGAGCAGTATGTTCGAATGTCGGGCTAAAAAGCTCTAAATCACGGTTGCCTACGGAAGCCACATGGTCTCCAGTGTCTCTTGTTAAGCACGGTGTTTGCCTTTGGAAACCGATTAATGTATGACTCAAAACATTCACGTCGAAAGGGTTCTCGATACCAGACCTGCTCGATACCAATTAAGTGAAATTCGGTTGGAGAACTGGAATTGGAAACGTTTCCCCTTCAATGTGTCGAATAAATGGAATTGAAATTAAAGTTTGTCACTTTGAAGTTGATATAAAGTAATTTATGGAATATGACTTTTTATCATAGGATGTGAAGCGAATGCTGGGAACTATTACGTGTAGTTATCTATTCGTTCATTTAAAGATTCATCTCATTCCTAAGGTTTCCCATTGTAATCGTTTCATGTGTATACTACAGAGTAAGCATAAATTACGATCATGAAATTTACGCCAGTTCTTGTCTTGGAAAGTGAATTGTTTTCGACAGTTTGTGCTTTTATGCCGAGATTGATACTGCTCTATTATTGTTGTTCATTATCATTATTATTTTTATTAATTATTATTATTGGGCCTATCTTTATTAATATCATTATTATAATTATTAATATCAACATTTCTCTTACTTATACTATCATTTTCATTATTATTATGATAATAATTATTATTATTACTATTACTATTGATTATTATATATTATTTCTTGTGTACTATTTTTAAAACCGCCTATCACCTATTGACATCCATTTTGTATGTATTCTATCCTTGTAGATCCTCTGTCATCATGAAGTACACGACGTCAACGATGAGCGCTGTGCTCCTGATCGTCTTCCTTGTCCTATGCCAAGTACTTGATCCCACCGCTGCCGTCGGTTGTATCCGACCACCGTCCTGCGACACCGATGAGGAGGCCGGCTTTGCCAGCATGCTCTGTGGTCAGCGACGTCTGAACTGCATTCCCCAGGAGCAGCACCACGCGCGCTTCCTGGACATGCACGGCAACAGGCTCACCAACCTCCTGCAGGACGCCTTCAGGCAATTCTACAACCTTGAGAGACTCGATCTGAGCTCGAACGAGATTGCCTCCATCACACCCGGGGCATTCTCGGGACTTCACAACCTCACGAGTCTGATCCTGAAGAGCAACAGGATCGAGAGCATCAGCGCCAGTACTTTCTCGGGTGCAGCCAAGTTGGAGACCCTGGACCTGTCCAGGAACAACATCTCCAGGATCACGGTTGGAGCGTTTAATGGTCTGAGCCAACTCAGGACGCTGTACCTCAATGAGAACCAATTGATGTGGTTAAGACCTGGTATGCTTCAGGGTCTCCCAAGACTAGCCCTCTTATCCATCCACAGCAATGGTATAAGCACCGTCGATGCAGCGGCCTTCCGAGGACTTACCCATCTCCGTGCTCTCCAACTGAACAACAACCACATCGCCACCATGGGCAACATCTTCGTATCCTTGCCATCACTGTCCACTTTATGGATCGGTGAGAACCCGCTAGAGTGTGACTGTCGGGTGGAGTTCCTCAGGAGGCTTTTAGTGCCACAACAGGCTGGTTCTGGTCTCCTGGCTGTAAGACACCCGGTGATCTGCAGTGGGCCTAATGTCATGAGGGGTCTCGATATGCGGTACGTCAAGGATGCTCTCCAATGCACCAAGCCAATCTTCAAGAGGGTAAGTTCACACAATGTATTCATAACACGTAGCGTCCATTGCACACAGGGCGTCATTGTAATGGCGTTAGTACCTGCGCTAATAAAGCCTGTCAAGGCAATCAGCCCTTACGCAAGTAATTACATTTTTTAACGACGTTACCCTCATATGGCGCATCGAAGACCGCTAGTTGGTGACGCAGTCGTACGTCACGCTAGTGTCGCCTCGTCGCCTCGATGGGCGTAATGTTATTTATTCCATTGCTGTATAGAAACTGCAATTTACTTGTGAGAAGGTAGGATTATCCTAAGATTGAGGGCGGGAGGCCATTTTGATTGTTGTTATTTGCCCATCTCATATTACGCCAGACTATAAATCCACGGAAACCTCATTATCTAACTAACGCTTGGAGAATTGACAGAGATGTCTGCAGAGAATCATATAGGGCAAACAAGAGAAAAATCAAGCAAAAGAAACAATCCCGTATCATCACCGAGCAACCACTACGCCTAGACCAATTACCAGCTTTCTCAGGCAATTAGCGCCTCTCGCTAACTGTTGCCTAACGGCTTCAACATAGTGGCAGCGTTCGTAGGAAAACTCCAATTCATATTGATAATTCAAAATTAAGTTATCACTCTTCCCCCTCCTCAAGCGGAGATCATGTACGTTAGAAACATGAAAGACCTGGCCGCCGAACGGGGTTATCAGTACTTCCGGGGTCGGGTTGTGTTTCCGGTTCGGGCCTGGGGATAGTCATACCATTCCTTCAGCACGGCGGGATAGTAATCTTCCCCTATATTTTGATGAATGAACGAATGAAATCGACTCTTACCTGGGCAATGACCAAAGCATTCCCCAAGAATTCATTTCCCAGAAATATGCCCGATATCTGGGGATCTGAAAGATATGACCTAGATTCGCGCACCTGAATTTACAGGATATTGAAATACAGGATGTTTATTTTGTACGTTTGACTGGAGTCCCGCTGCGTGGTCAATTTGACAGTTAATTGCGCTTTTCCGAAACAATTTGCTCTCTCTATATTTTTAGTTATCATAATATTTCTTAACCCATTCATCTTTAGAAATATTACAAATATTGATACTGATAATGTATGTCTGCCCTTTAATGTAGGGTCCTTTTAGTAGCGTTGCTATTTAAGTTTTGCCCCCATTCGCATTACTAGTATTATCTGTAAAGCGCTTAGAGACTTTAATTAAGCGTTATATAAAAGCGGAATATTATTATTATTTATTATTATATTCATATATGATCAAGAGGGGCATATCAATTTTCTTATTGCTGCAAAATTTGATAAAGTTGTTCTCTATTTTATACACACTTTATCCGTGGAATATTGTATCGGCGAATGACGAAAGTCACAATGTATTAGCACTGTTCTCGTGAAGTCAGTTGTTCTTGCGTACTATTATCATTATCATTATTGAGTTTAACTATGCTGTTCCAACTAAACGTATTACCATCAATCACCTACACTGGATCCTAACACAAAGCTCAGTTTAAATCAAATGCTATTTGCATCAACCCATCTCTTTTCCTTTTTCAAAACACCAAAAGAGATTATATCATTTAAAAAAATCTGAAGCAACCGCATGCGATCTAAAATATAATACATTTTCAACAAAAAGATTATGTTAAAGTCCGATGCAACACACAAGCTATTTAAAAGATGGTACAGGTTAGGTTTATCATGCAAGCCCTGGATTTGAGAGTTTGTAAACAGAATACTTTCCGGCAGTTGGTGGTAGTCCCTCGGATTTGCCCTCGAAAATCCTCCCGCCTACATGTATATCCTCCCTTTTTCATTGCGCTTAAAGCCCCTCAAAAGTGATGGGAGCCCCAACAATTTGATGGCAAAATTTCACTTAAACTGTATCATAAAGTGAAATAGGATGTCATTTAAGACACATTTCTGCAAGGATTTTCAAAACAAATGTGTTTGAAGTTGAATATTGATAAAGGAATACAAAATTTGATCTTCTACGAACAACAGAAAACCCAAATTATGTTTTCTTTTAACAATATTTGTCTCCAACCGCTTTTTTTTGTGTGTCTTAAATAACATCCTCTTTCACATTATAATACAATTAAAGTGAAATTTTGCCTTCAAATTTTTGGAAATTTGGAGCTCCCGACACTTTTTAGGGGGGCTTTAAAAATTCATTTCCATCCCAGCTTTTCGTTGATCCCCTTCAAGCGCACGACCTGACAGCTTTCGGTTCGAATTTCCATGTCGGGGTGCGATGAAGAGAAAAAAAAACGATGCTCCTTGAGCAACACCCCTCTCCCTTGTTAATCTCTCCGGAACATCTCCTACACCCCTTTAAAGGGGGCAGGCAGTTTTAACTGAGCTCAAGGCTCGATAATCAGCAAATGAATAGACGATTTCAGCAGAAACTGTTTCGTGAGTAGAAAAAATGTATTCCGGGGGCAGGCAAGCAAGGCATGCCAAAAGAAATGAAATTGACGATTGCTCAGAGAAAGAGAGATTGGAAAAAAAATAAGGCATTCATTAAGCTGGATTATGGAGTATCACATTTGAATATCACGAACTTGAATCTTTGCGAGATGAATAAATTATAGCCTTCCTTAAAGCACCTCGTAAATCTTTGAATCTATTAATGTGAGAACAAAACAAAAAGTATAGCATATGTAACTAAATTGAAAAAAAACGTTTCTATTCCAGTTAAGATTCAAAAATTTCGACATCTAAGCAGTGGATTCTCAATTTTAGATGTAGTGTACTGATGAAACTATGAAGAATGATAAAGAAGAAAATTGCTCGTATAGTTTGTTGCTGCTCCGTAATAAAATAATGTACCCAACAATAAAGCTTTTTTGTACATAACCTGGGTGATATCATATCTCTTAGTGTCCATTTACACTGAAAGTATGAACATAATTATTCTGCGCCTATGAATATCCATTACTACAACTGAAAGTGTGAAAGGCCCCATTTCTTTCTTCACATTTGGCAGTATTACAACTAAGAAAGTGGATTTTAAAACCCACTCAAATGGTGAATGGGGGAGTGGGAGAGCGGAAATGAATTATGATTTCTCTGAACCATAAGGGAATTTCAGAATTAATTTGGAATATTATTAAAATAGACAAATCAAGGTTAAGGGTAGGTGGTTTCAAGATTCACAAGCTATTATCATAAATCCATCACTGTTTCGTTTACTTGAACTCTGCCTGTCTGCAAACCTGGCCTCGTGATTAATTAGACATTCAGTTTCAAGAGGAATTATAAATGGTGGTGATTGATGATAATGATGATGATATAATGATACTCAGCGGCGGAGGGAGTCTGGGGTGGGGGATGGGGAGAAAAGAAGAACTTTAGAACTGATTGTCGTCCATGCCAGAGAATCCTGGATCTGCCACTGATAGTAAAACTAATAACACCTCTACTGCTAATGATAATGATGATTGAGATGATGATAATAACAACAACAACAACAACAACAACAGCAATAATAATAATTATAACATTAATATCAATGATAGTAATATAGAATAACAAATAAAGGAAATAAATTAACCCGGTGTTATTTTCCGAATATACTACCAAACAGTATCAATTCTAACTTTTAATGATCAAGGAATAGAGATGGTAAAATTGATTATGAATACTTGGAGCAGGGCTTAATTAAATCCATATTATCGGCTTTGATATTATACATCTTCAGACGTGGCCTATAGAAACTATAATGTTTATACATGAATAATTATGTAAAGGCGTCCTAATGTTGTAATACTTTAAAAAAAAAAAAAAAATCCCCCTTCCACAGGGTTCTTTATTTTCAAAACAAATTTCATCATATACAGAACATCCATATATCATATACAAATAATTAAAGAAATAATTTCCATACATAATGGCTTGACACAGATAATAATCATCACGGCCAAAAACTTTTGTGGCAGATAAAAACAAACATTTATGACAAAATTAGTACTTTAAATATATAATTTAAAAAAAAATACCAAACATAAAATACATGATCACGTTTATGTAAGCACATTTCCAACACTCTCAAAATATTTTCTAAAGTGAAACCATTTCTTTTTTAGTTTTTTAGTTGTAATACTTACGCTTCTAAACTGCATTCCAATGTCTTACAATTCTCTGTGGTATAGAACAGGAAGCATCACACGTGTCTCTCACATATCTTCTCTAATTAATCACAAACCTGACACGCATTGCCTTGGAAAATCCTTAAACAGTCTATTACCACGACAACCAACAGAATGGGGGCAGCATGCCAAAGTTATTTATAACATTCGCACCGTGAGAATCATCTAAATACAGCGCGAATCAAAAGAGAAGAGTTGGCGCATATGTTAGGCACAAGACGAGCTATCAGGACGTGAATAGGAAGTCCCCACTGCCTTGTGTTCCTACCTTTGATGAAATTACTGCTATTTTGAGTGAAGGTTAATTATCAATGAAGCCATTGCAGGGGGAAATACTTACATAGTGTTCACTAGTACGAGAGAGAAAGAAGAAGAATCCCGAGGTAAAAAGTAATTGAAAGATATATATATGTCTTCATTTGCCCGAAATTGTACACTAAAACATCAACAAGTTAATGCTGCGCGTTGGTCACAAAAATATAAGAATAATATTGAAATATAATCATAATATTGACACAACAAATCTTTTAAAACTACAGTAAATAACATTGCATCAAAGGAGTCTATGGCAAGGGGAAAAATACCATCGACGTGAAAATTGTGAAAGCCAAGGACGCTTTTTTGTTGCTTATGTTTAAACACATTCGGCAAAGTCATGGTAAATTGTGTCCAACGTTGCCCTTTCACAGTTTTCAGTGCATTGTGGTATCATTATTATATTCAATTTTGAGCGTCAGCAAAGGATTTACAAATGGTATATTGACCCCTACATCTTTTTCTTTCTCTTTCTCTACAGGAAAGGTTCCAGTATCTTATTGCCAAAGGACAGGACATCTCAATGACATGCGATGCTTCAGGTATCCCTCTCCCGGCCTTGTCCTGGGTGAGCCCTAGGGGAGAACCCATCCCCTCCATCACAGCCAGTACAGCCAACCTGAACTACGCCCATGCCCCTCGCATCAGCGTCCGAAGCGATGGGTCTCTCAACATCCGCCACGCCCAGCTCAATGACGGTGGCAACTACACCTGCCTGGCACAGAACCCCGGTGGTCAAGCAATGGCCGAAATTCGAGTCACCGTGGTCAACGAACTCCCAAAGCCAACCCTTGAGGCTCCAAGGAAAACGACCCCGGATATGTGGCCCAATGGTGGCGGTGACCCTGCGGGCAACGAACCATTGGGAGGTTGGCCGAAGCAGGAGCGTCCACCGTTCGCGTGCATACCGGAGCGATCCCGGGCGTGTGATTCTGCAACAGGTGTGGTCGTAACGGCCATCGTGACTTTTCTGACGACCCTTATAACCTGCGTGGTCGTCTTTTACCTTTGGTATCGTAAGCAAACAGCCAAGATCCACTTCGCTTCATCGCCAATCCCGAAGACGCAGGGACCCCTCAACAATCAGTCATCGATGAAACCAACACTTCGCCGCTTTATCAACGCCATCTCGAACCCTGCACACCTGTACGCCAAGCCCAAGCCCACGAAAAAGCAGCGACAGGCCGGGTTCACCTTTCACAAATCAAGCAACAAAGCGGACGAGGCATGCAGACACATTATAGCCCCGCTGACAGAAAAACCGTCCATTCTCAGTCAAGGCATTCCAGAAATGGACGCGCCCCCGCCACCGCCCATGACCGGATTGAACCGGTCACACCCGAAAACAAGTGAACAGAAGAGGTTAAGCGTCGCGCGGGAACTGCTCCAAAACAGCGCCACAATCTCGCGGTCTTCACACCTTTACGAGAACGCGACAGCTTTAAATGATGACCCGAACTACACAGCACTAGATCCCATGACGAGATGTATAGTCAACGACACCTACGTATCTTAGATTAGTTATGACAAGAAAATAGGTATGATTTTATTTATGAAGAACAATCCATATAAGATCACAACATGAAGGATTCTTTTGTCGTCATCTAAGAAAATCGAACAAATCAATGAATGACTATCGTCGCTCATTTCAATCGAGGGAAATGGCGGATAAAAAGGGAAAGCTAGTACGGTATACGGACGGATTTCGAAGCCTACTAGTCTTCCGAAAACATGGACTAATTGTGGCATTCATCAAAACGAAATCAATGACCTGGAGAACTTGCAACATTTTGAATTTCAGGAGACTGTTTTTATGAAAGTGAAGGAGAAAGAACTCCATATTTAGTCTCTAGGAACTCGTTGAACAACGGAATGCTTCTGACTAAGCGACCAAGACGGAATACAGTTCATTTTTCAAGGAACTGTTTTATGATCATAGCTCTAAACGGCATGCCTGCTATGCACGACATGCATGTATTTTTTTTTTTTTATATCTGTAGAACTTTGCACCTGAAAAGATATCCACTCTTGGTGGATCTCAGGGAAAGGGGGTTGGGCCCTGCGCATAATGCAATACTCAAATGCTGTTTTTCGTCTTCCACTGTCAGTGTTTGGAGTTGTTTCGAAAAGATATCCATATTTCAAAGAGTTAATCGCATTCGATAAACCCTCAATTCCCTCACCTCTGCAAACCTATCATTTCTTCCACAGCATGTTTACAACATCAATTATCACCTGTCTATGACGGACTCCTGCGCATCCACTTTTAACCAGTAATCACCATCTGGACACTACGACATACGTCACCTGGTACATTTCCTTTATTTGCCCTTTCTCCTCCCTCTTCTTCATCCTCCTCTTCCTCTTCTGTTTTTGTCACAAGACGTGAGGTTAACAACCCCTCTATACCATTTCAGGCCATGCTTTAATAGAAATGAGCCTCGAATCTTGCAAATTAATGAATTCCGGTCCTCGATATCCGTTCTAGGGTTGGTCCGCAACCAGCCATAACAAACATGGCCTGGATGCAGTTCTCTGTATGCTCTCATACAGACGTAATACTTCGGTTAAAAGCATCCAGACCTATTTATGTCCATGGTTGAAAGGGGTTTGTTGTACCATGGACATAAATAGGTCTGGACCAATTTTAATTAATAGGGGGTATGTATACTTCACACGTAATACTTCTGTAAAAACATCCAGACCTATTTATGTCCATGGTTCAAAAGGGTTTGATGTACCATGGACATAAACAGGTCTTGATCATTCTAAATAACAGGGGAGTATGTATACTTCATACGTAATACTCTACTTGAAAGCATCCAGATCTTTTTATGTCCATCGTTAAAATGGGCTTACTTTTAAGATGGAGCATGTGTACTAAGATGTGATGTATGCCTTAACCCATTCGTATACGAACTATGCAATATCACTAGAGGAGCAACATGATTGCTCGTTAGTCACAAATTTGACGTCATTACAAACAGTGGAAGTCAGATGTGATGGTACGATGTTTTTCTTTATACCATGTCACTAAAAGACGTGAAAAGAAGACAAATGAGTTGATGTTTGAGGTATGGTTACTTATTTTAAAGAATTATCCACCTGAAGACCCTAAGACAGTGTAGAGCGTTGTTTTTAAGCTTTGAATAAGTGTTTTAGATAAATGAGGAATTGCGATAGGAGAAAAAGGTGTGAAAGAGAACGTAAGAGAGAGTGAGAGAGAGAGTTTAGGGAGGCTTGTTTCTTTTCCTTGCAGTCATGCACGAATTTCTACATGATTATGAATTGGGCGCGCAATTTCAAGAGTGTGACTGACATTTCGTTTCCATGGTTACGAAAAGGGTATTACTTCTGCCCCATAGTGAAAAGGAATTGAGCTATTTCATCTCTTTACCAAATTTGATAATATAATTTGTTCCAAATACTATCCCTTGAAACGTTAAATTAAGACTGTTTCACAGAGGCGCGAGTCCGTAGGTATGCGAACTACGTCTAATTAATCATCGGTATAATATCTGTAAAGAAATTGTGTGTGAGATATATATGATATGCAGTATATAGTATCGTCATTCGATATAATCTAATGTCTTCTTTTTCATGTGATCGCTTTGAGTATGTAATTGCGGTGAAATCGATCGTCCAATGATCATATGAACTTGGTCACATTTTTTCTAACATAAAGAATATAATTAGAATTTGAAAATGCTATTTCAATATCTGTTTATGAATTGTATTACTTGGTCTGCTTGGTAAATAATATTGTTGATGACATTTTTATACTTTTAAAAATTCCTAGCGGATTATGTTTTGATTTAAAAAGAAGAATATATCTTTCAGCCTATGTCTTTCAGCCTTTTTTTAGATTAAAAAAAAAGTCATCTTCATGCATGGGGGACAATGAGTAATATGTTTTATTAATGGTTGTATTTATCTTTATTGTACATAAGATGTATAATTCTTTATTTGGTGACCATGTTTGAGACAAAATTTGAAGTTATCAAAAAATATTTTATTTGTGATTTTGTTTGTTGTGAAATGTATGTATGATAAAATGTTGACTATGTAAATAGTATTTGTACGTCATGACTTACGTGTAAAATAAAATTCTATGAGCAATAAACGAGAATGAATTTATTATGAAATCACTGTTTGAATATTTGTATTCACTTTGGAAAAAGCTGTGGAGATGTATATCATTCTTGATAAAAAATATGAACTATTTGCAGAAATATATCGTATTATTGATATCATATCGTTAATGGTTTTTTATTTTTTATTTTTTATTTTTTTTTATACTTTTAAAAATTCCTAGCGGATTATGTTTTGATTTAAAAAGAAGAATATATCTTTCAGCCTATGTCTTTCAGCCTTTTTAAGATTAAAAAAAAAGTCATCGCAACCAGTATAATCATGTAATCCCCACAACCATGAAAATATCTTCCGTCTATGAGCGCCGTCACATATTCATAATTACAGACATGAAAGAACACCGTATGACAAAATTAATCGGTTGGATGCCGGTAAAACCTCAGTAATATGTAAAATATATGGATACGTAACAGGTTTAAAGAGTTAATGTTTAGCAGAGAAGCGAATAGACGAGAGAAGAGAGAGAGAGAGAGAGAGAGAGGGGGGGGGGAGAGAGAGAGAGAGGGGTTATACAAATTAATGAAATAATTAACATGATTAGTATAAGAGAATGCGATCTAAATATAAGGCTCGCCTACCCCACCCCCTTTTACCATTACGCAACCAGTATTATCATGTAATCCCCACACCCATGAATGCGACCATGGAAGTTACACATGCCTTTCCCAATCTTCATATCTTAATCATTCCTTCTGTATGATCTCATAAGGCCTTTAAAAATAAAGATGTTTTATTGCCCTTTGCCACCGACCCAAAAATCTTGGAATCTACGGTCGGCTTCTAAAAAAAGTTGTTTTTATTTTTACCGTTTTTTTAGAGAAAACAAATATTAAAGCATTCGAAACTGAGAAAGTTCAGCCTAAAGAGGGAGAAAGAAAAAAAGAAGACAAAAAAAAAAATGTCCGTCCAACCGACCCATGTTTTGGCACCTAAAGGGCAATACATCATATTTTATTTTGTTAGGCCTATAATGTGAGTGTCTCAAAATATCTTCCGTCTATGAGCGCCGTCACATATTCATAATTACAGACATGAAAGAACACCGTTGCCGAAAATGTACGTACCAATATATGAATAATGGTAGGGGAAGGGAAGAGGGGGGGGGGGGGCACGACAATATACCACACCCAAATCCGATGGTTGTCAATACATATAACACCGCCATTGGATGATCCCTCCCAATCGAATGAGCTCTGCAGTAATACATGTGTTCCTGTTTAATTCCACCACTAGCATGTCTTGCACACACCGTTGACGTAGTAAAATTAAAACATCGTCATCGGATGAGTTTAGGGTCCTGAGAAAGCTTCGAAATCTGGCATAACTGTTTGCGATTTGCCATGCAGATAGACGGCAGTTATTGAAGAACAATTGATGCCCCCACCCCACCCCACTGGAAGCCAGTAGACCTGCTTTTCAAGAAAGCCCTGCATAATACAATAACTGTATTAAAGTAGGATTATGCAATAATTAAAAATTGTACATACACGTGAAATATCAAATTAAACACATACTTTTAAAAATAACACTATTTGAATCATACAATATTTACTATCAGTTATTAAAAAGAAAACAAACTGAATTATTACACTGTCTAACAATACCACGCCTAAAAAAAACACAAAACACAAAAACACAAAAAATTAAATAGAAATACTAAAATAATTACAGAAGGAATATAATTATTACAGTTCTGTAGGCCTATTACACTTTTGAAACTTTACTAAAAAGGTAAAAAATAGTCATAGTAAATGCATAAAAGACGGGAATGCTTTTTGAACAACTGTAATGGTTTCCTTTACGCCATCTTACGATTTATAACACAGTTATATTGAATATTCATGATACCTTAATTGTACATTGCTTTGAATACGTTACAAATCATGGATGTAATTCTTACTTTAAAATGGAAAAGCAGCTTGTCAGATATACCCTCACTGCAAATCACCCATTGATTTCTAACCCAATACGAACCTATAATGGTTACAATAAAGTTATTGTTAAATTTGCCTATAAACCAATAGCCTAATTCTTCAAATTGTTGACCATCGATTAATAGCATGACCTGACATCTTTTCCACAGATTTACGGCAATTAGGGAATAGGAAATCTTAACATAGAAAGAATTCTTTTGAAGCTTTGGTTCATACCGTGTTATTTGACTTTACTCTTGTAACCACTATAATGATTTCGTTTGATATTTTGTTGGAAATTTTCTTTATAACGCTTAGAGACTTCGGTGGTAAGCGCTTTATAAGCACTGTTTTTATTTTTTATTAAGTGTTCCAAGATAATGTATTTTTAATAACAAATATATGTACAATGTGTCAACATGAAATTATTTTCCCAAATGGTTATTAGGATACTTTTATATGTACCGAAAGATATACTCGAACCCCTCTTTGTACGTCTGGCTCTATACTGAAATAACGTTGAATCAGAAAAGTAGGGCACTTCTTGGCCAGGGTCATATTTTGACAGACCGAACCATGACAACTTGTGACAAAAGGTGTTGGTTTTTGTTTAATACATCGGTACAGTCAGCATGCCTAGTTAGCCTAAGTTAGGCCAGGGAGATGTGAGTCTTTGGTTGGACAAACCGTCAGAGGAAACAGCGACTTATCCATCTTAATCACCTACCCCATCCCTTTCTGTCTCCCGATGGCGGTTTTAATTTCTGAGCTGAATTATCCCGAAAGGAAATTAAAGACTGTGGTTGTGGTCTAATTAAAGCGAATCGAACCCATGTGACAACAAAAATAGGTGATCGAAGTATGAAAAACAGGATAGTCGGCGACAAGATGAATTAGGCTTTATTTTGATGGCTCCGTCGCCTGTTTGAAGTTCCTTCGTATACCAACTTAATTCCACATCGCCCTTCAGTTTTAATTTCCGATACTTGGGAAGCTGCGAGGACAATACCAACCACTTGTTAATATCCCAATACTAATAGCCATTGGTATTAGTATTAAGGTTAAATGAGTTTAACAATAATATACATTAAGTACTGTCTACTGTCACCGTCTATTATAAATATATATATATCTAAGAGTGAACATATCATTTTTCTAGGTTTATTATTGTTGTCTTTCTAATTATTACATTTTTCTCATAGTATATATATATATTAGAATGCAATTATTTCTGATTTTCACTGAATTTGTCGCTTTTGTGATTTATTTCGATGAGGTTTTATAAATAATTGTCAACAAAATAGATATGAATCAATTTG